ACCCAGACTTTTCCCGTACAAACTGTTTAGTTTAGATTCGACTATTTTGAAAATGTGCTGCAGTAGAGATGACGCCTCAGTCCGACAGTTGAGCGACTGAGCGTGTTAATGCTTTCAGCAGCTCTAAACTGGGAAAGCACAGTAAAAACCTGGGACATTAACGATATCCTGTGGTGGAACCTTCACAGACATCATCCTAACACGATGGCGTGGACTCCTCTCAGGAGTCACAGGGACTCTTTAGGTTATAAATTGCACGTGTGTGCCGCGAAGTGCACGCTCATGGCCATGGCTTGACCTCCGAGGCGTCTGTAACTTTTCTGAGTGTGTGTCATTTGGTTACAGTGGCCCTCGGTGGCCAACCGTCTCCACCCGTGGCTGGAGGGAATGAATCATGGCTGCTGGCTTCAGATTGATTGCTCTGCTGCAATTAACAGAGTGAGTAATCTTTAGAGTGCGGAGGCCTTAGTGACCATACGTCGTTCCAGGCTTACACCGATGCAGCACTCTGCACCGACTCCTGCGGCGCGCCTTCGCCGGCTGCCTCCTCCGCGCTCGCCGCGCCTGACCGTTACCACGCTCACAGCAGCAGAGGGCAGATGTTTTCTTTCTCTCTCTTTAAGCCGCCTGACGTGTCGCCCTGCCCTGGATCCTGCACGCCTCTTTCCTATAGCTTGTCTATCACCATCTGTTTGCATCATCTCATCGGGTGTTTTTGTGAGTTACTATGACTCAGAAATCACTGGATATATCACTCACTGTAATTTCAGTTTGTTTTTTTTTTCTTGCCTTTGTGAGGAGGAGGCAGAGGAGGAGGAGGAGAGCAGGGGAGGAAGGAGTGAGTCATACATTGCAAGTAGAATAAAAACAACTGCCTGCTGCTGATGATGAAGAGTTTGGGTCAGTTAGACATAAACATTACAGCTTTTCACTTTCAGTCTTTTCAGCTTTAATCGGTTGTTGCGGTGATAAAAAATAAGATATGTTTGCACGTATTTAGCCAACCTCTGATGCCATGGAGTTTACTAATATTTTAGACGTTTGGTTATAACAGTAAAACCATACGGCAAAGGCAATTTTTTTAAATACCAGTTTAG